GCCACATAATTTGCTATCTTCGCAGCTCATTCCTAAGGGATTTGGGAAATGGAAGGTCATTCTCCCAGAACAACATGCCTTCTGTTCAGATAGCTCCGAGGTGTTATTAACTATGATAGAGGGTACTAGATAATGCAAGTGACGGGCGGGGCGATCTTCGTCAGAAAATCGGTCTTGCATTTGAATAATCAAGAAGGGGAATAGCCACAGAATTTTTTGTAATGATCAATTGGGCTACAACTGGGTATGTTTGAGCGATTCCTCTGTATGCTTGTCTTTCTGGGACTAGCTTCAACAATTCCCAATTTCTCAGCAAGGTTCTAATATTTGTTTGTACCAGACTTGACAGTCGCTGTCAATGTTTTTTCTAACGGACTTGATGTTTCCAATTACTTCGTCAACCATCATGTAAGCTTCAAAAATATCTTGGTCCCGTTTCTGCAGCTTTGATGCAAGAGCTTTGACTTCATCAAGAATATTTTTGGTCGCAATAAAAACCACTACAGTCTGGAATGACAACAAAGAGGCTTTCAGTCCCTGGGCTTTTGTGATAGTATCTTTGTCTCGATTCCAGCTTCAGTAGACGATTTCAAGTTTGGATACTCGTGGGGGGAAATATCAGCATCTAGAAAGGTGACTAGGAGCTCATACATTTCCAGGAAAAGATCTAGGCACGTGTGTCTTTCCACCCAGCGTGTCTTGCATAGACCTGGAAGCTTATTGTGGGAATCCTCAGGCAGGTATTCTTTCAGAGTCAACTCAAACAGCTGCTGTTGCTTTGGGCTGTTATTTAAAAATAGATATACCTCGTTAATTAGACCTATCAAATTTCACACTTCTGACAGTTTGCATAATGCTGCGATGGAGACGTTCAGGCAGTGAGCATAGAAATGTGCGAAAAGAGCTAAAGGACTGATCTCTTTTATCTTGGCCTGCGCTCCTTCCTTTCCACTTGACATAACGGAAGCTCCATCATATGCCTGACCACGGATGTTGCTAGGATCCAAAGAAATAGATGGATCAGAGAGAGATTTCAAAATCTTTCTTGAAATCATGGTGGCATTTGTTCGTTCCAAATGCATGAAATTAATCAGGCATTCCAATGACCTTTCCTTAATTTTTGACGCATACACGTTTCGCGAAATGTACATTACCTTTTCATAACTTGACAAGCAGTCGAATGGTGGAAGTGGAAAAACTTTTTAAAAAAATTTATTTATAATTAATTTAGGAAGATTAAAACAAATATCAAGAGACAAATGCTCCTCAAAGGGGGGGTGCAACCCCCTCAACCCCTCCCCTGGATCCGCCTCTGCAATGTCTTAGTTGAAAAACGTACACTTGTTGAAAAAAGCCAAATCTGAAATCTGAAACCAAACTGCATGTACTCTATGCAATCTATTGAACAACACTACTACCGTGAGACTGAAGAAAAAAACTCTAATGGATGCAAACTGTTTATGAAGAAAGACGCCATGTTGAACTCACTTGATGCTAAGGAACGTAGCTACGATAACAGTACGAATGGTATTAATTTCGCGATCAGAAAGATGAATCTTATTTTTGTTTTTATTTTAGTTGCATGGATATTCTTCTTAATAAATTTATGATCCAAAATCCTGTGCTTTTTGTGTTTAATGTTGTTATGTCATCTATTGTTTACGCAATTTTCTTGTTGGCTAATTTCTATACAAAGTTGTTGATGTCTTCAGCAATAGATGCTGTGAATAGACTCGATGAATGTAACGTATTTGAGAAAGCTGCTCAGTTATCTGTTATTGTATATGATAATAAGCTTAATAATAGCAATGATGAAGCATTTTCAATAAATACAGTCTGTAACTGTAGATCTCGATACGAAAAAATTGGTTTATTTTAATCGCCCTCTTACGCATGGTGTTTGTGACCGTGAGCCTAGCAGAATACCAAAGAAAAGAATTACACGTGTTTTGAAGAAATCTTGGAAGGTAAGACGTTTACTTCGAACTTACATCACAAAAAGCATACCGAAGTCTTCCCGAATGCAACAAATAAAGCTCGTGAAAAAATATATGCACATGGAATCAGATGTGAGAATAAAGGAACAACGAAATATCCCTCTTCTGCAGTCAGGAGAAAATATCGAAAGTCTAACAAATACAGGATACTGAAAATGCAAAACCAATATCCACATGTAATAAAAAGTCCAAAGCCAAAGCAGTCGAATGCATGGAGGTCTAACATCGCCAGAAATCAAGGACATCTCAAACCCGCTAACAATTATCAGCGATATATCGTATTACACTCCGGAACAATAGAATATCAAGAGAATTCAATATGGCGGCGATCACGGCTCGATCTGCAAAGAAGAGTGTTTCGTACCATGACATGTTTTCGACATGACAATCTGAGCACTGCAGATCTTCTATTTGATGAAGATAAAAAGAAAAGAAGACCTGCAAGTAAATCTTTGGGATTTTTCGAGGCAGAGCGATGACATGATGTCAGAATTTTGATTTGCTTTAATTAATTTTCGCGCTAAGACTACTGAATTTGCATTTAATGCCTGGCATATTTTTATTCCGAAAAGGACCTGAGAACTAATTTATTTCCCTACAAGAACATAAACAAATATGGCCGACGATTCGAAGATCAGCGTTGCTCGTGTTTAACTATTTCAGTCATAGTTTTCAACATGGCTTCTCGTCACTTACTCAACATGGAAAATAAGGGATATTCTGGCGCGTTGGGAAGTTTTTTGATGGGAGGAAATAGCAATTTTACAGGATATTTGGACGCTTCGAACTCTGTAGCTGTCAATTCGATCGAGAGCAGTTGACTTTATTGATGCACTTTCCTGTAATAGGCGAGTGTTTGGGATGGAGAACGACGGATTTTGAAGAACTGTAAGGCGACCTAGGTCAATGATCAATGACAAAAGAACTGGCTCGGGAAGTAAGTGGTTTTTATTTATCGAGTCCCTGTGAGGTTTGATGAATAGCAGAATCAGTACTGAATATGTCTCGATCGAGAGCAGATGGGACCATGAGCTCCTGATTGTTATATTTTAGAAATTTTACAAATTTCCATACAGTTTCTTATATTATTTGGACGCCATTATGGACGAGATTCGCAAGCGCGGCCGCCATCTTGTCCAATATTTCTGCCGATGTTCAGTACCAAATGTTTATAAAAATCTGAATCTTCGTTATCATTGTTGTGGTTAACAATTTCCTTCTCAGCCTTGCTGCGAAATGCAACATTGGTGACAACTATCACAAAATAAAGTGAAAACTAATCTGATTATGGTGTTTTTGTGGCAATGATCTCGGCAAAATGGTATTCGCAATTAACGCAAAATTTACGGTAACATTTAGTTTTGTCGATTAAAACTGTTGGCTATTGATGAAATTTGTTACGATGACGGGAGGCCATTAAGGGTAAAGCTAACAGCACCTTAGGAAATGTGTGAAGACCAGTATGGAGAATAAGCATACTGATATTAGGATGTAAATGGTTAACCCTTCAACTACCAGAAGAGACTAACATGTAACTTCTCACCATAATAATTAATATCCAATATATTATCCAGTGAACAGGTAATGAGAATACTCAAACTTACCAGGTAGAAGTTCTTATCTTGATCTAACAACAAACTCTCAAAACTAATTAAAAAGGAAATGTAAAGTGACTAAGGCCTAGTTCAAACGTCGATCTTTACATGTACCGAACCTAACGTTTCTATTAAGTACATGTAAAGATGGACGTTTGAATCAATTAGGATCGGCAGATTTGTATAGACGTTTAAATCAACTGCCGCTCTTAATTATTCGAGTCGACCCAAATTGCAATTAGGTTCGGTACATGTAAAGATCGACGTTTGAACTAGGCCTAAGGGAAAGAATAAACAATCATATGGAGAGTTAAAGAGTTAACAATGGTAATGGGCCTGAGTTGAGTGATGTGTTAATTGCTGGTATGATTAAACACAGAGTTGGAACACACAAAGTTCTGTTACCAATTAATCAAACCTATGACAAAATTCAAGAAAGAAATTAGACATCAGTGAAATGTTTTTGAAGTAAGACAACAGATAACTCGGGGAAATGCACAACAACAGCATGCCCACATGACACATACTGTCCACATACACAGGTATGACACTGTCCAATTACAAGCATGATGCCTACACACACACTTTTATTTTTGTTTTCTAACATATTTACAAGATATTCCTTTGAAGGAAAATAGGAAAATGACAGATGTTCATAGCAAAGGATAAAATGTCCTAGAGTTTCTGAGTGTACGAAACATATCGTAGAACAACAATTTTGTTTAGATAGTTTTTAGACACATTACCCCAAGCAACAAGTCCTTGAGTTAAATAAGGTAAAATTAAGGAGTTATAGATATTTATGACTACAGATGTTGGAACAAAGTGTCTCAGCTTAGCAATCATTCCTATGGTCATACTTGTTTTAGTGATGACACAGTCCAAATGGTTTTTCCAAGAGAGATTTTTATTGATTAAAACACCTACATACTTGATGTGATTCTTATGTTCCAAAGTGACTCTTCTATTTTCTGTGTAGTACACTGCCTATTAGTGCTCAAATCAGGCTGGTAATAATCAATCACGTTCGAGAATTTTTTTACAGTTTTGATCAATCACAATATACACTTCTTCCCCTTTCTCACTGACACATGTACTACACCTGTGCCAAGTATCAAATGACTTACTGATGACAAGATAAATATGTGTAAAATGAAGACCAAACAAAACTTAGCTCAATACAGAGTAATAATTTACTTCAGAGCTACTGTGTTTCCTTGAATAAGCATGCAGGCACTTATTTAAGGTAAAAAAAGAGTGATGCTTATTAGAAGGATGGGGCTTGATTGAGGGGGCACTTATTATTCTCCTGAACTGATTCAGCAGTAGTTGCAGCTTAAAAATTCATAAATAAAGTGGTACTATGAACAGGTTTTCTCGTATCCTAACTATCTAAGAAAAAGAGGCA